GCTGGGCATTATCAAGGCTACCTATGCCTGCTTCCTTCGGGGCAATGCAGAGATGATCTTCATGTCCCTCTACTCCCTTCTCTATATGTCCAGCCTCCTGCCAGCCAAGATCTTTGCCATTGCTACCATCAACAAGTCCGGCTGGGGCACCTCTGGCCGAAAAACCATTGTGGTGAACTTCATTGGCCTCATTCCCGTGTCCATCTGGGTGGCAGTCCTGCTTGGGGGACTGGCATACACAGCTTATTGTCAGGATCTGTTCAGTGAGACAGAGCTAGCCTTCCTCGTCTCTGGGGCTATCCTGTATGGTTGCTACTGGGTGGCCCTCCTCATGCTCTATCTAGCCATTATCGCTCGGCGATGTGGGAAGAAGCCAGAGCAGTATAGCTTAGCTTTTGCTGAGGTGTGACACAGCCCTCAAGCAGAGCGGGAAAAGTGCAATGGGTAAGGGAGGGAAGGGGAATGGAAGAGAAAAGATGGGGTGGGAGGGAGGAGGGAATGCTGTTTTAGTTTTTAATGGTCCAAAGGACAAATCTGAAGTGTAAAGAATGGTGACTGTTATGTGTCCTGGGGCAATTCTGCTTAGAGGCAACGCTGATTCCAGCTCAGGGGGATGAAGGAGACTTGTTTTCAGGCTGCCTGTCCACTGCATGGCGGCCTCTGAGAAAGATTCCACTTCCTGCCCCAGGATCCACAGGGAACTCAGAAGTATGCTAAACGAAACAATAAGTTAATTCAGTGGCAACTTTTGATAGGTAAGTGAGCAATGCTAGCTTGTGGGAAGGCGTTCTCTTAGCCACCTGAACACAACCAGAGGTGGGAGGAGAAGTTCTGAGTGATCTGGGCCAGGTAGTGATGTCTCCCCCCTTAATCCAGTTATCAATGCAATAAGATTGTGCCTGAGATAAAGGCCCAGAAGCCTGATCTCTGGGCATTAGAAAACAGGGTCCAAGAATGGTACTTTATTGATGTACCCCATTCTACACCTTCACATCCCAAGGATGAGCCAAACTAGCAGGGAGTTAGCATTGAACTGCTCTTAAGTGTGTGTGTATATGTATGTTAAGAAGGACTTTGCCAGGAGGAACAAAGATCGTGGTGGTGCTAAAGGCCATGAGCCATACAGAGGCCTTGGGCTGAATGTATTCCACCTGGGAATTGCCCACTTGTCTGTGATCTGTGCTGGGGAGGTAAAATGTTTTGGTCACCTACCAGGAAGATTAAGCTTCAACATGCTTGGAAAGGATGTGAGGGCTATTTCAACCTGTGTACTCCTAAATTACTCTCTCAAATTCAGGTGAGCCTTAAGGCAGCCTTCTCACTTCACTTTCTTCAAGATGATGTAGTCACCTCTTCTGTCCTCCCCAGTGGGTTAGCCACCTCTGTAAAAGGCAAACCTGCCCTCAGCCCATCCGGGGAAAAACTATTAGGAGCCTCTGACCAAATTGGCTACCATCTTGGAACTGCTTGGGACAGAGTCCCTGGCAGCTGGGGTAGCATGTGACTTTCAGGCTGCAATTCTTGACAATCATCTTTAATAGAAAGCTTTTCAGAGTTCCCTAAGTAAACCCTCAAATCCAAGTTCGTCATCTTTGAAACTGTCCATTCTCCTCAGTGGCTTCTCCAAGGAGTTCTTATAGTCAAGTTACTACTGCATTTGCTTCTTTCCAGAAACCAAACTAGAAGATGGAATTGGTTCCTAAATCCTAAGGTTCTTGCTTCTCTCAGGCCTCTTGGGGCTGTTTTATTTCCTTCTGCTTTTTGGAGGAGAATGAGAGGCAGCCATTTTCTAGAGATCTCCAATCCATGTTTCCAGCTCTTGGGTGTGAAACCTGGGATCTTGACTAAGCCTTTGACTTAAGGGTTGCTTGCTCATGAACTCTTCTCTCCAAACATCCATCCTCAGAGGGTAAGGCTAACCCCTCAGAACCAGCGCTAAGGTAGAGAAGAGTCGAGGGGCAAGCCTCTAGTGTGCCCAGGTGCTTCCTACAAAGGAACACAGTGTGCTCTGAGCCACAGACTAGCAAATCCTGGTGCTTTCCTTCATCTCCCACGAACTCAAGGGTTTTCCAAGTGCGGCTAACATTACCACATCACACAGACCTCGAGTTTCTAAGACTGCTGGTTGCTGTCGGGCCCAATCCATGAAGGCTGGGAAGAGGCAGCAGGCATTTGCTAAGGGCAGTTGTTCCAGGCTCTTCTGTGTTTTTGCTGGCCAAGAAGTAAACTATTTTGAGCACTACAATGGAGGAAATCCGGTCAGCCAACTGCAGAGCTCAGACTTCACTAAGGGCTTGTTTTTCTTCAGTTTTTACTTGAACATTAATATAGAATGGACACCCAGATGGAAAATTCTTGGCTGTCCTACCAACAGCTCTGCCTTGCACTGTGGTTATCAACTTTCCTCAGATCAAGAGTAGGCAGGTACAAGTAGTGGGCTCACAACGTTTGACCTCGACTGGTTCTTCTAAGTTATTCTGTACATTTTTTCAGCAGTGAAACCAAACTGGGTCTTCAGCTTTATCCCGTCTCTTGCAAGGGAAGAGCCTTTATACAACTGGACACATTTTGGTTTTTCCTCATTAAGAATTTTAACTGTCTTTTGTATTATTTCTACAATGATTTGTAAACATATTTATTTTTACTTTTTTTAACTTTTCAGGTCCAAGTTTTTATACTGCACTTATTTGTCAAAATAAAGATTCTCACATAATGCTGGTATCTGAGCTACTTCCTCCCTCTTTGTACTTAATGAAAGCTAGCTCTTTATTCGTTTTAAAAGAGGCACTTGCGCTAGAAATAGTTAATTCCAGTGGAACTCAGAAGCAGGATAAGTTGTCACAGCTGCCTCTGGACCTAGGGAATACAGTAGGCCTACCTTAACAACTGTACACTTATGGTAGCTTAACTTTTATTGCAGAAGGTGGGCAGGGTCTTTGGTGAAATTACTGGCAGATGAGTGAGCTAACGCTAAAAACCAAAGCTTGCTTCCTCCTTGAGTGAAAGCATTTTATCTGGCAGATAATGTAGGATTATGGCCAAGTTGAAACAATGAAAAACAGTGGATAAGCTTCCTTCTCTGTGAACAGGTAACAAAATGGCGTGACATCAGCAGCCTTCTCTTCCCATTTATTAAAGAAACAGTAAGAAAAGATACAATGCAGGAAAAACACCACCATCCTTTCACATCAGGCTGAACAAAGCACAGTGATTTCTCCCCTTCATTCCCCCCACCCCCCACCCCAATTCCCATCCACATCAGTTTAAATTTTGAGGTTCTTTGATTGGGAGAATCAGTGAAGAGGGAGTTGGATGAGCAGTAGAGCTGTGATTCTGGCCTCCTCTCTGAGTCCTGGAGAAGGAAGCTGCATGACCAGTCAGTCAAGCAAGAACTGTATTTGGTGGGTCTCTGAAGTGGTTGCCCACCTCCCTGTTCTGTGTTCAAGCCCCCAGGGAAAGGTATGGCAGTAGAGGATGACCAGGTCCAAGCTGCCCAGGTTCGAGCTGCTGAAGCATGGTCCATTCACCAATGTAACATTTCTAGAGAGCAGTGAGCTGATTCTCCAGTGGTGAGCAGGGGACTACATATGAACTGGGACCTGCAGGCCAATGTATCCCTGAGGAAAAGTCCACAAGAACAATTCAAGAAACTAGTAAGAAACAAGGGGCAGAGGGCTGTGGGACAAGCACAGCAGGCTTCTGGAAGGCTGGAGATCCTTTCTTTCAAGGCCAGGATCATTCCCACCTGCCGAAGTCCATGTCCCACAAATAACATTTCACCTTCAATCAAGAAAGAAGCAGAGGGGAAAAAATGGCTCATTTGAATGTGAGCCCCAGCTATGTACTTCAGACTGTAGCTCCATAACTACCCTTTTATCTAAAACAGAGCCGTTGCCAGAACCACGATGCCTGGAAACCAAGGTGGTCCTGGAAAGAAAATGCTGTTTAAGGGGGTAACATTCCATTTGGGTACATTGCAGCCATTGGACCCCCTGGTCTGGGAAAAGCAGCTGGGTTTGTGCCAGGGAGACTCCCCACTCTAGGAAATGGGACCAAAGTCTTGCCTACAGGGCCATTCATCCTTGGAAAGGAAGCTGGGTTTAGACCCAGGTTCCCAGTTGGCCTTGCAAAAGAAGCTGGGTTGATACCCACAGGGCCTGCTGGAGAAGAGCCCAGAGGCCCAGGAGCTGACCTGGGGAAAGTAACCTGACCAGGGCCTAATGGGCCAGTAGACCTTGGGAAGGTAGCTGGGCTTGGACCCTGTAAGCCAGTGGCCCTTGGGAAGTTAGCTGGGTTGGGTCCTAGTGGTCCAGAGGCTCTTGGGAAAATTGCTGGATTTGAGCCCTGGAGGCCAGCAGACCTCTGGAAGGTAGCTGGGTTTGAAGCCAATGTGCCAGAAGACTGAGAAAAGGCAGCTGGGTTCAGGCCCCCTGAACCTGTCCCCCTCGGAAAGGGATTAGTATTTACCCCCATGGGGCCAGCTGGCCTTGAAAAATGAGCTGAATTAGGGCCTATGGGGCCAGGAGCCCTTGACAAGGGAGATGGATTTGGCCCTGGGAGGCCAATTCCCCGAGTGCCAGGACCCGAGTTTGGGCCTATGGGGCCAGGTATTCTTGCCATGGAAGATGGGCTTGTGCCCATGTTTCCAGAGGCCTGTGAGAAAGAAGCTGAATTTGCTCCTAAAAGACCTGCTGCTCTTAGAATGGGGGCAAGATCTAGGCCTTGAGGTCCACCCATTCTTAAGTTAAGACCAGATCCTGTGCCTAAGAGGCCACCTGCTCTGGTGTCCAAATTAGGGCCTGGGCCTAGGCCACTTGCCCTTGTGTTAGGCCCAAGGCCTGGGCCCAGGCCACCTGCCCTTGGGTTGGGCCCAAGGGTGGGGCCTGGAAATATACCTGACCTTGGGGCAGGGTTTGTACCTACAAAACCTGATCTCAAACTGGGACTTGGTCCAGGGCCCAGGCCAACAGGTCTAGTATTGGGAGGACCATTCCCAGAAGTCAACAGGACACCTGCTCTCAGATTGGGTCCAGATCCAGGGCCCATGGGACCACCACTTCTAGAGTCAGGACCCGTTCCCAGGAGACCACCTGCCCTTGAGTTGGACATAGGACTTGGCCCTGGGAGACCCAACCTTGGGTTAGACAGAGGCCCTGGGCCTGGAAGAGCCCCTGCTCTAGGGTTTAGAGTTGGGCCTGGGCCTGGGCCCAAGAGACCACCTGGCCTCGGGAAAGAAACTGCACCTGTGCCAGCGGGATTCATCCCCCTTGGTAAAGAAGCCATGGGTGGGTCACGAGCACCAGCAGGGAAAGGTGCTGGATTCGAAGCCAATGAGCCTAATGAAGTTGGAAAAGGAGATGGGTTCCTTGGAAATGGGGCCAGATTTCCCCCAAGAGAACCGGCTGCCATAAGGAAGGAATCTGAGTTCATGCTCAGTGGGTGGCCTGTGTTTAGAACAGGACCCCCCTGTGGTCCCAGGGAACCGTCGAGTCGTCCTCGAGGTGGCAGTGGAGCACGAGTCCAAGGAGTTGGCCGCTCTCTAGGGAAAATCCGGGGTTCTTTCATACTTTCTTGGGGACGTTGGTAATAATGGGCTTGGGGCGAGTTTTGAAAAGGATCTTCTTTTTGATGAGTGCTGTCACCAAGTACCGGGTGCCAGTCTCGCAGCCAAGCTCATCACAATCCTGCTCCCCAGGAGTATGTTTGACAAGGACAGCAAAAGGTTTCTCCAGGTGGATGATTTTCCCATACAGGATATGATGCCCCACGATCAGAACAGGGATTCCCTTTGGCAGAACAAGAACAAGATGCCTGAGGTTCAAGGCACGGTCATAACACTCAGGTGCTTCCTAGAGATGCTTTTGGCAGGCAATGCTGGCACCTGCACTCCCTGGTCTGGCTCTACCACTGCTGAGCAGCCACAGTGGACAACCCACCCTCATGTCCTTTTTTGCCCAGGTAAGAGAATTTTCACTATTAGAACTGTGACCTTTCGAGATTCCCCAAAGCTAAATTTCCCTGCTACTACAGAGGTGGGGGAGAACAAGCAGGTAGCTCAGCAGATTAGCTAGACCTTGTATAACAAACCTGAGGGCAGTCCTCACTGAGTCCTGGGAGCACCACCTTGGTGTAGCTTGCTTTCCTGAGGCATTAGGCAGGGAAAGAAAAGCCCCCTCACCTCAGTGGTGTAATGTAGGTCTCCCAGGAGGTTTCCAGCTAATCCAGTGCTGTAGCGAGCCTCGATCTCCCCCTGTAGCTCCATCAGCACCCATTCTGCCAGGCCTCCAGCCCCAGCACTGCAAGCAAAGGGCTGGTGGTTACATTATTTTTGAGGGGTGACGGATGAATAGTGTCCTACACCACCATTCAAGGCCCAAAGGAATTCTCTGTTGAGCATAAGTTCTTGGGAAATTGGGCAGTGCTACGCACTGAACTAGAGATTGAAATGCAAGGATTTATGCAAGATGCATCTAAGGACCCTGTTTCTTCCAAGAAAATATCAAGCCTATATAGCCCTAATCATTCAAGCTAAAGAAAAGTCTCAAAATGTACTCACCTGGAAACAACAATTTGCACCATGAGCCTTCCGTCTTTTAAAAGCAACTGATAATAAGCTGTAGAGGAAAAAAAAAAAAAGATTTAGGATAATAATGATGACAGTTAATATTTACCACTTACTGTGTGCTAGGCACTTTTCTAAGTGCTTTAGATACATTTTATTTCATTCCTCTAACAAATCAACAAAATGTAAGCATTCTGAAAACATGTACATGTAAGAGCTTAAGATTACCAACGTTCAACTACATACAGTGTGAATAGTTAACAGGTACTACAGTCGAGTTCAAGGTCACACGGCTACTAGTCAAAGAACCAGGATTTGAACCCAACACTGTATAGCCCACGCACTTGACCACTATGCTAATAACTTGCCTTTCCTAAGGGTATTATTCTATTTTCCAATCCACATATATCTAAAAAGACTATGGAATTTTTAGATTTTACTTTTTTCTTTGGTAATGACATAAACTTCATGTCTACCACTATGGTTATCTGGTATTTCAAGGTTCAAAGGACCCCCTTTAAAAGCCAAGAGAACCGAAAAGTCCTCCAGACAATTTTAGTGAATGGTAAACTGACTTCTGACGTAACTCTCATCAAATGCTTTAACCATCTTTCACTTAGATCAAGGGTCCCCAAGTGCGGACTGGTACTAGCTCGTGACCTGTTAGGAACCAGGCCGCACAGCAGGTGGTGAATGGGTGAGTGAGTGAGGTCCTCAGCGCTAGCATCACTGCCTCAGCCTCACCTCAGATCATCAGGCATTAGATTCTCATAGGAACACCAGTCCTTGGTGCCATAAAGGTTGAGTCCTCTGACTTAAGACACTAAAATACCCTCTCTTAACTTTTTTTTATACAACAGCACCACCTGGTGGCAAGTTTATGGTACTCTACAAGAATGGGTTAAAATGGGACATTTTTGCCTGAAACTGGCTTCACTTGTACTTTTCTGGGAAAGATGATTCACCAGAGTTTGAGGAGATGTGGAATCTGAACTACAGAATCTGTATAAGTCTTTCCAATGAATAGATGGAACTTAGTGGAAGGTTATTAGTCCAGTGTTAACCAATTGCAACTTAACAGGTATTATAACTATGCTCAAGCTTAGCAAATATACTTGATTAGAACGTTAAACTGGTTTCTTTACTGATCTGTTAATCTTCATTTGGGATTTCCAGGGAAAGCATATTGCAGCAGCCTTATAGGACAGCAGAATCTCTACTCTCAAGCACCAAAACCATTGGGAACATGAGGTTGGTCAATACACTGGACTTCAAACAAATATTAATGGCAGCTAATAGTTAGTGAATTCTTACTATGAATCAGATGCTGTGTATATATATGAGTGGTATCTCAATTACTGTGACAACTCTATGAGACAGGTACTTATCACTATTTTGCAGATAGAGCTACTGAGAGATACACTTGCTTGTATGCGGAACACACACAGCTAAATGTGGAAGAGGCAGCCTAAGAACCTAGACTACCTGACTTTATCTACACTCATAATGACTACCAATTCTGTCCTCCCAAATGAGAAATCCAAGTGCCAGTGACAATGAAAAGGCATCAAGGCATCAGGCAGGCACCACATGACACACAAGAGCTGGTCAGAAGGCCCACAGGGTATCAAGAGGGCATCCTTGAATAAGCCAGACCTTCGGAAGCAGCACCAGTGTGGCAACACTTAAGAACAGTAATATATACTAGTTCAGGAGGGAAAAGGTCTTCTGACAGATAAGAAGGCCCCACCACTACCATCAAAAGAATCACTAAAAGCACTTTAAAAATTATTCTAAGGTCAACTGAAGGAGAAAGGATAACAATTTAAAATTGGAAGGCTTAAATTCAGGTTCCAGCCTGTAATTACTGTAACCATCACCATACACGTCACTTAATGACTATGAGAGCTAACACCTAGATTATCTGACTCATTAAACTATTGTGAAGACCAAATACAACACATGCAAAAAATGCCTTAGAGACTTTTTTATTCAGATGAATAGCTAATAGAGGATGGAATAAATAGTTCCACAATATAATTTTGACTATAATTTAGAGAATGGTAGGTATACTTTAGCCATGAATCAAAAAAGGCTCAATTACTAGAAAGTGAACTCATTAAGTTTCTAAAGGTTAATAAATGCATGTAGATTTAAAAGGGGTTCTTATAAACAAGCTTTTAATGACTGATGAGGCAGTATATTCTCCTTAATGGGTATAAGTTATGGTAAATTATAGGTGGTTTCAGAGGAACAATAACATGTTCAAACATACACATGTTCTAGAATTATCATGGCAGGGAAGATGATCAATCTTTAAGGCCTTTGGCCACATTTGAGATGGGAATGTGTGGACTGTTTAGGAAAAGGAGATGCAGAAATATTTTCCTGTACAATCTCCTGTTAGAACAGGAATTCAGAACAGTGGCCTGAGCAGGCAAAGGAAAACAGGTGCCTGGTAGTTGCTGCTTTGATGAGCACACACACCTGCCTGAGTACATCTACTGATGCTGGTAGACATCTAGCAATGCTCCTAAAAATAAGAATTCTGTGGCCTACAGCCTCACCATTCTACTGTTGTTCCCAGTCAGGCTGGTAAAAACTTGTGCTAGACCTGGGATGCTGCAGATGTGGATACAAATGAAGTTCACACCCTGCTTATCAGACTAGCTCTTAGGACTGACCTGGCTACATTTAGGTACAAGAGGGTCTATATACCAAGTTAGTAAAAAATGTAGGGGAAGACATTCCTTTACCAAGTTTTTTAATTTGATAAGAGCCAAAGTAGGTAGGTATACCTGTACACTTCACTAAGGACACACCTGATGGAAGTAACAGAAAATATGTATTTCATTTACTGTGGAGCTGACTAAAAAGATATGAGAACACGCAGCTCAATCTGTCCTCACCCCCTTGAGAGTAAGTAGCCAGTCAGCCAGAAAACAAAAAAGTATAATACAAATCAAATCCTATTAATAACAAATATAACATTACAATAAATTTTCTGTAAAACAAGATTTCTAAGTCTTCAGTCTCAACTCATTCCATCTATATTTAAAAACAACTAGAGCAATCTCTATATGTTTATTCTAAGATATTGCTTGTGTGGAAACTGCAGCTTTATCAAAAGCAACATGTGAAGGCAGTTTGATGAATCTATCAAATCATGAAACTAAAAGGAGTTAATGGTAGAGCTCCCCCAGCACCTATTTCTTTAAAGAGCCTTGAGTTGAATCTCAGATTTGGCTAGGACTAATTTGTCTTTGGTTAAAAATAATTCCAAGTTGACAATATAACTGTAGAGCCATAGAAAAAGTTCAGTGATAATGCTTTTCAAAAGGATGTTCAAATTCATTATATATTAAAGGGCACAACTAGAGTGTGGACTTGGAGAGATAGGAAGCTGTGGGTAAAAAAACCAAACCTCTCCCCTCCAATGAATTATTTTCACCCCCACCCCTACTTCATAAAAGGGGGAGATTTTTCCTACTCAATTTTTTTGGGCCTTTACTAGAACTAAATAAAACAACACATTCTATATTCCTTAGTGAAGTGACTTTAGCTCTGCAAGGGAAACTTTTTTTTGTACATTTCTATTTTTTCCCTATTAAAGAAAAAAAAAGCCCGGGGCGGAGGCTTCAAAATTTCTATAAATGTCACTTGTCTAACTAAACTCACCCCAGATCATCCCCAATCTTAAGGCCTGGAGTTAGTCTGGAGAGCCTGGGTCAAGTTAAGACACTGTTGCTTCTCAGGAAAATGTTCCAGATGACTTTGGGACCCCTGAACAAACCACAAAGCAGCAAAAGAAGTGGCATTCTCAGAACCAATCCAGATCCAAAACTGGAAACCTAATCAAAACTCAAAAGGTTTGACTGGAATCAGAATCTGGGATACACCTTATCATTTGACTATTGACTATTTCTATTTTGAAGTTAGTCGCTATTAAAATTATTTAAAATCTGAAATATCAAAGTGCCACCACAATTTCTGAGTAAAAAGAAAAGTCCAGGCAGAGCATTATCTTTACAATACAAAAGGCTTCATTTCTCACATAGCTAAACTTTTTTGAACATTTATCTGGATTCTTTTGGTTCTGAAATGAACACAATCCTATTATGTAGGCAGTATCACTTCTATTTTACAGATGAGAAAATCAGGCTTAGAGAAGCTATAAGTAACTAGTCACAAAGCTAGTTAAGTGGTAGAGCTGGGATGTGAACCCTAACTCATCCACAAAATGGCCTCTTAGTTTTCTCACAGCCCCTTTCCAACAGTACATCTGTGTTGTCAAATTTTAAAATTGTTTTAACACCTTAAAATTTCTTGTCACCTGAATCTTATTATTTCTTTTCTTGCTCCTTGAGATTACTACTCTAAGCTGTTCTAGGGGCCAAAGTAGGTAGGTATACAGTACCTATGAGAACTTCTGGTTGCTTTGCAAATACTAGCCTTTCTCATAGCATCTCCTACCAAATGGCAAGTTAGTAACCTATGTAGAAGATCTGTATCTTGCCACCAAAATAGCTATTACATCTGTGGGGCAGGCAGTTAAAAACGAACAATAAGCCTGTTTCTTACTGTATCCAACTGATGAGAGGACATTCTTTGTCACTGCTTCATTTTAATTTCTGACTAAATTTATCTTATCCTTCAGTTTCTGAATTCTTAAATGTTAAATCATTAAAAGATTACTCTTATAGAGAATAGCATGAGCAATGACCTTCATAATGGTAACTGCCCCCAAATAAAATGTGGCAGAAGTGTTATGTATCCAATCAAACAGAACATACAGCTTTTACTGAAACAAGGGGCTTTGACTAACTACAAATAAATTTTACTAAAGCTAAATGTTTTAAACTGTTTTCATTAGAACCTTTCTTGTATTTTAAGTTTTCCTTTAAAAAAAGAGAATAAAGGCTTTAACTCTACGATTTTTAATTTTAAAAAAATGTTTACATACAGGACACAAAATATTTGCAATTGCTAAGCCAACAGCACTGAGCTCTTATTTGGTCTCAGGTACTACTCTTTGAGTTTAGGGATACAGGGTGAACTCAAGTTATCACATCTGGATTCTGTGATTATGCCACTTACCCTATGTGTGATGGGGGTAATTTAACAAGTTTCAGTTCACCTCCAATAAATCAAGCATTAAAAAAACCCTATTTCAAAGGGCTGTTGTGAAAATTAAATGAGGTTATGTGAAGTCCTCAGGACAGCGCCTAACACATGGTAAGCCTTTATGATCAAGCCATTCGTTACCTGGAAGAACATGGCTTTTTCCTAATACATGTCCAATAGAATGCCTTAATACTACACCGTATGATTATTTTGTTCATAGTGGAGTAAAACATTCTATAGAAGCAGCAGGTCACCAGAATAAAATCAGGTTTACATAATGGAAGAACAATTCAAATATGGCAGTCGGGGTCCACCAAATTGCTTCAGGGATTAAGTTCTGGAAGGTTTTCTCTAAACAGGATGACTATTTCTGTGCCTTTCCACCAGCCAATGAACAAGCCAAGAAAGTTTACATACAAATGAATACAGATTATTTTTATTTATTAAGTGTTATTGTGGTTTTGTGACTGAAGGGGATGGTCTAAGTTTCAAAGGGGATCTTGTCTCTTGACAGGCTTATAGCATCAAGTGCTAAAATCCTGTTTCTAAATGAGAATCTTACCTCCCCTTCAAAAAAGGGCTATGGAGGGTAGATGGAACTGAATGCTTCCAAACTTTTCATTAGTGAAGAGTGTGTTCAAAACCGTGTGTGGATACTATGCATACACGTGGTACTTTCCCATCACATTTTAGGATTCCCGTGATGGAGGGAATCAATTACTGGCATTTGTAGACAATGGGTGGAAAAGATGGCTTCAGTCGATCTCAGTTACTCCAGTTTTCTCCATCTTCAGCTACTCTGCAGCCCCATCTCAACCCTTCCTCCTCTCTTACTACTATGACACCCTTATCTTCCCCAAAGCCCCTACCTTTCTAGCCCGGCTTGAGGTCTCCCTCTACCCTGGATTCTCTTCCCACCAGCTTCCAACTTCTCCACCCACTCCGCTGGCCCCCTCCCATCCCTTCAGTTTGAGCTACAAGCACTTCCTATTTCCAGTCCCGCCCACGTTCTGGGACGTCTCAATACGATTTCCCTCTTCCCCAAACCCCTCTAAATTACCCCCAAGACTTTCGCTGGGACCTCTTACCAAGCTGTTTAACCCTTTCTCCTACCTCCCAACGAAACTATTCTCTAACTACCTTACTCTATACTCCCCACACACTGGAGAGCTCTTCCAAACTGTTCACCCTCCTCCCAAGGATGACTCTTTAAACGTTCTTCCTCTACCACCCTCATTCTCCAAATAGTTCCCAGTTTCCCCCTAAATTCTGAAGTACTTTTGTTCATTCCTCCAGGACCCCACCCCATCCTTTTCTCGTCTCACTCCGCCCATAAAAGAACCTGGTTCACTCTTCACTGTCCCTTCCAACCATCTTCCAAAATTACCTCTCTCAGCAGCCTCCCTCCCATTTAAAATGTCCCCCAAAACTTCACAGTCCTACACCGCGCGCCGCCCCCCACCCTAGTCCCCTTTCTGATATTCCCGCTACTTCTTGAGTTCCAATTCTACCCCGCTCCCGCAAACCTCGCGTGCTGGGCTCCCTCCCCACCGGAGGAAGAGCCCCTTTCCGCACATACCTCGAGGATCCGGCCCGCGCCGCCCCCTTCTCCGTCCTCCGCCCGCGCTCGGCCACCCTTTCAACCCTTCTCCGCTCCGCCCGCTCACTCTCTTTCTTTCCCTCCGCCCTCCGTCTTCACACTGCTCCCTCCCCGCGACAATTCCAGGCCTTCCTACCCCCAGAACCTCCCTGGTTCGCCCCCACCTCTGCACCGCCCTCCCCGTTCC